AGGGTTTATAGGTTTTAGGGTTTATAGGGCTTATAGGGTTTAGGGTTTAGGGTGTAGGGGCAAGTGTTGCTCGAGGGGTTCTTTATAGCTTCTGTATGGGTTCTATGCTACAGGTTTCACGAGCACTTACCAGAGGCTCCAGGTTTAGGGTTAGGTTGGCGGTTTCGGTAGTAAGAGTGTAGAGGGCCTAGGGATCTGTAAAGATTTCAAGGCAAGATTTGCATCGATAAGACTGTACTAAGAGCACAAGTAATGGTAGCGAACTCTTCCTTAAACCCAAACAACATACTTTCTTAGGGTTGCTCATGATTTGTTTTTTGTATAAGTCCATGAAACTATAGGTTCTCTGGTGGTTCAGGTAAGCCCTACAGAGGGCATATGCTCTCTCCGCTGTCCCGGCCCGGTCTGCAGGCCCCCCTAAGTAATCTAGTCTGATAAACCCTAAACCCTAAATTTGGAAAACCCTAAAATTCCGAAAGCCCAGGTTTTCCTGGGCTTAAAGTTTGAAGAGGCAGGCCTCTTGCTGCAGCGCCCTGCACCGCTCTTGAGCTTCCGCAAGCTTCTCCTGGCTTAAGGTGAGCCCCGGGCTTAACTTTCTTTTGCTGCTATATTAAAAGGAGTGCTCTTTCGAGCACCTTTTTCTATATTTAGGGCTCAGGGTCTGGTGTTTGGGATTTAAGGCTTACGGTTGGTCTGCTGAAGACGAAAGTTCTCACTCTCACTGTCTGCTATCAATTATGATGCTCATCCTCATGAAGGCCAACATAGTAGTTGAGGCGGCTGCTGTTGGTATTGCGAAATTGAAGCTTTAGGGCTGAATACGTCTAGGGCATCCCGTAAAACCCAAAGCCCTAAACCCTAAAACCTAAACGCCTAAACCCTGAACCCCTAAACCCTAAACCCCTAAACCCTAAACCCTAAACCCCCAAACCCTAAACCCCCAAACCCTAAACCCTCTTTCAATTAGGGCCGCAGGTTTAGGGACGTTGGGCCTCAGGTCTGAAGGAGGCTGGACAAGTTTGCGGAGGCGCGGGGCTTTTTAGCTTTCCAGAATGCGGGACTTAGGATTTTGGGTTTAGGCTTTTGGGTTTTGGGCTTAGGGTCTAGGGTTTTCTAGGGCTTAGGGTTTAGGGTTTAGGGACCTGCAATGTATTGCATTTTGGTAGTTGCGGGGGTTGGCGCCCATGGAAATCTTGGGCTTGGGGCTTGGGATCAAGACCCCTGCCCCAGGGCTCTGCAGCTTCCCTGGGCCTAGGTTTCGGATGCGAAGCTAAGCGATGTGGGCTCTTTTCATGCTCCGTTCTGTCATGTGATGAAAGCCCCCTAACTTACTTGCTGAGCTCACAAGCCCAAGAAAGTGCAGACCCTCAGTTCTACAGGGGGACTGGTCTCCTCAGGAATGTAGAATGCACTCATTCAGCTAAGCCACTAAGCCCTAAACCCTAAACTCCTAAACCCTAAACTCTTAAACCCTAAACCATTGAACCCCAAGCCCTAAAGCCCTAAACCCTGAACCCCCGAATCCGGGCCTTTTGGAGGCTCCGGAGCTCGGATTTCCAGGCCGCCAAGTAGCGGCAAAGCCCAGCGCGCCCTGGAGCGTCAAGTCTTATAGAATCCTTGTAGAACCCTTCTCGTACCCCTAGTAGCCCTTATCGTACCCCTTATCGAACCCGTTAAACCACAGAACCCCCAAACCCCTACATCCTGATAGAACCCTTCTCGAACCCTTACGGTACCCGGTGCCCCTTGTAGTAGCCGCCACAGCATCCCATTCGTACCCCCCTACAGAGCCCGTCCTGATAATACCCCTTCTAGAACCCTTTCCAGGATACTTTCTAAACTAAACCCGAAACCCTAAACCCTAAACCCCTAAACCCCAAAACCCTGAGCCCTTTAAGGAGCCCTTATTTGGGCTTGGGGTGTCGGAGTTTAGGGTTTAGGGGTTCCTGAAGCGATTCCTTGCCTTCTGGTCCCTAAACCCTAAAGCCCCTGAACCCTAAACCCCTGAACCCCTAAACCCAAAACGCCTAAACCCCAAACCCTTTAACCCTTCAACCCCTAAACCTCTAAACTCCATAAAATCCCGAAAGCCCTAAACCTCTAAACTCCATAGAATCCCCAAAGCCCTAAGAAAGGACCCAAAACCCCTAAAACCCCATAAACTCCATAGAATCCCCAAAGCCCTAAGACAGGAACCCCCCCAAAGCCCTGCGAAGATCTCTGCGTCGCAGCGGCTGCGCTGGTGTCGGAGAGATCGGCCCAGCGCCTCGGCCCCACGAAGCAGCGGAGCTTTAAAGGCTTAAGGTTTATAAACCCTAAACCCTGAACCCTATAGGGCTTTAGAGTTTAGGGTTTCAGGGTT